TTAGACATTTTTCTGCAAGGAGATTAAATGAATATAAGTAAACTAATATGATCCCAACCCTAAGCACTAATTTTTTACCTCAACCCAAGCCCTCCCCTAATCTTAGGAAATAAATCATCCATGAATAACTATTTAGTAAAACTAATTTATACCTAACCCATCCCATTTATATTACATATTCCCTATGAAAAAAATTAAAACAATTAACTCTAAGCCAATAGTAAGTAAAAAAACCAAAGAACAGTTTAAGAAATATTTAGAGAGGATAGAAGACCCCAAAAATAATCAAGAAGTAAACTATGACTTACCAGAAAATCCGACTCCTTTACAAGTGGCTAAGTTTGATATTTGCCAAAGAATCCTCGCTTATCAGCAAGATAATAATCTAACTGATGAAGAATTAGCCGAAAGGATTAATTTAAGTATTCCTGAATTAGAAGAAATACTGTTTTGTCAAATTGAGAAATTTACCCTCGATCGGTTAATGACTTATGCCAACTCTTTATTTAACCCTTCCCAAATAAAGATTACTATTACTAAGCCCTTATTAAGAAAAAGAACTCCCTTGTATGCTCGCTAGATTAATTGATTATCAAGTAGTCAAAGGAGAAAAACGCTGAACTTATGATTTTAAGATTATTTTTAACGGAAAGAGAATAATTTCCCTTACTATCACGGGCTATTATCAGCAAAAGAAAGGTCGAAAAATGATTACCAATAAAACGATTATTGAGTTTTTAAAGAGATTAAATGGTAGAAGGTTAAGACCAACTAAGTATGCCGGAAAACGAAAAGTATTCAAATGAGAAACTAGTTATCAAAATAAGTTTTATCGATTAGTTTTTTGATTTAATGACCGTTCTACTAACCATTTATGAGTGAGGAATTGTTATCTGATTGATTAATTTCTACTAGCCCTTTACTCTTTTTTACCCTCTCCCATACCACAACTAATCCTTTCCTTTTAACCCTTTTACCCTAACTTAGCCTTTATTTTTTTAAAAAAAACAAACAAAATAACTTTTCTCTAGAATGACACATAACGCAAAAACAATCGAAGAATTATTTACCAGTGCTGCTTCTTTACGAATAAGCCAAAAAAGGAGAGGAGATGACCGCTATAAAGGAGATGCTGGATACTGGGATGGTGGTCGTTGTGAATACGGAGGAGCTCATAATCTCCAAGAAGACTGCCAAACCTTGGCTAAATTCTTCGATGATATTACAGAACTAAAAAATGCTAAAGTGAAGTTGACAACTTTTAACAACCAAGCAGAGTTTGAAAAGAATAAACAAAACTTACTCAGTAAAGTTAACCAAGCACTCGGCGGTTTGCAAATGAAAACAGGTGGCAATAGTTCTGTTGGCGGTGTTTGTATTATTTGAGATGATTTTGCTAGTTATCTTGATATGATAATAGATGATTTTCGCCGGGAGACAGAAGCCTTGAAGACAGATATTGAGAAAGTTGCTTATAGTGAAGCCAAGGAATTACAGAAGTTAAATCAAGAGGAAAGGAAATTACAAAAAGAGATAGAAGAAAACGAAAGAAAGGCTAGGAATGAAACTGATCCAGACAAAAAGAAGAAGTTTACAATTCTTGCTACTGAAGCCAAGAATAAATGAAAAAAAGTCTTAGAAAGAAAAAATCAACTTAAATCAGCAGGACTTGGTGATAATTTTAATCCTGACAGACACATTAATGACTTTATACAAGCAATAAAAGACAAATTAGAAAATAAACCTCCAAGGCAGAAAAAACAAATCCCTGGTTCTAATGGCACTGATCCTTTCGGTAGTTCGGGATCCAAAGCTCCCAATCCCCTCAACCCTTTCCAAACTGACCCTAACTCTAACCCTAATCAAAACTTTTTCCAAAACAAACACCTAATCATCATTACTGGTATTGTTTTATTAGTAATTCTTTACTTTTATTCTCAATCCTCTAAATCTAAAGAAGAAAACTATTATTACGACTTCTAACATGACTAACTCAGCAGAACTTAAGAACAAACTTGGTGAATACACTAAGGAACTAGAAAGTAAATTAGAACCTTGACAACGCGGAACTTTAATTCTAGTTCTAATCAATTTGCTAATTATCTCAGTTTACTTACTCACTAAAAAAGAGAAACCTGAACCTAGAGAATTAACTGAGGCTGAACGGAAAAGAATAGAAAATCTTGCTGAGGAGCGAATATTAAAAAGAGCTGAATTTTTAAGTAGATTAAGAAAATAAACATGGTAAACATACTAGGAAAAGAAATAGAAAAAGAGCAAGAACAACAATTAAAGATAATAATTCTTTTACTAGTTGTCGCAGTAATCTTTTACTTCAATATTTACCTACCCGAACAACAAAGACAACAATTAGAAATGCAAATTCAAGAAACCATTAACAAAGTAACTAAGGCTCAACCAAATGAATACTCTTCTTTACTAACTACTTGTCAAAAATTTTTAAAATGAGAGACTGAAGGCAATCCTATTCAACAAGAAGCCTTAGAAAATCAAAAAGAAAACTTAGATAAGGCCATTAACTGATTAATTCAGGCTGAAAGACATGCAAAGGATGAAAATCAACAAACCAAGACGCAAGAGGAGACCGACAAAAAGAAAAAAGAACAAGAGATGATTAAAAAAAAGAAATTTCATTGACGCAGAAACAGAGAAAAAAAGAGTTGAAATGAAAATTGACTGGTTCGTAAAAAGGATAGTTTCGAAAAGACCCTTAACGAAATGGGCGGAGAAGAAAATGTTACTATTTTTGATGTAGCCGCTGATTACACTATTCATTTTCCTCCGTCACTATGAAATGAACTGACTGAAGAACAAAGAACTTTAGCCAAAAGTAAAGGTCATGGAGAATTAGAACTAGACAGTAAGACCAAAAGTTTTAAATGAAATAATTTGATTGAAGATTGATATGAAAAAGTGGTTATTAATCCAATTCGTGGCGAGCAAGATCCCGTTACTGAAAAAGATAATAATGCTTTATTCTACGGAACAGGGGGAACGGGGAAAACTTCGATAGTAAGGAAATTAGCATACGAGGCTGATATTTATCCTCTCATTGAGATAAAAGGTTCAAACTTAACTCCTCGCAAAGAAGACAATGAAATAGGAATTGACCCCTTAAATAAGTTTATTTTCACCCTTTGTGATATAGAAAACGTGCTAGAAGATGATTATGGATTTTCAAGAGATACTGCTAATAGTGAAGTGCGTTATATTCTTTTCGTAGACGAAGCAGACAATATTAGCACACATAACGCTATCATAGAATATACTAAACTAATATTTTTAAAGTCCTGTATGGAAGGAATTAGTAAAGATGCCCAAAGTAAGAACCTTTGAATTTTTGCTACTAATTACCTTCACCTCATAGATCCTCCTGTTTATCGTCCTGGTCGTTTGAGCAATCCTTTAGATTTTAGTTGGACACTGGGGGATTTTAAAAAAGAAGCCGAAAGAGTTGGTATTGCCAATCAATTCCCTCAACATTGGAAAGAAACCGATACTTTAAACGAAGAAGATAATAAATGAGTAAATAGATTTAACTCCATGAGTTTTAAAGATGAATTTTTACCTTTTTGAAGAAAATTTATTGCTCATCCTGAAACCTTAAAACAGTTGCCAGAGATTAAAAAGGAATTTGCTACCAAAGAGAAACCAACTCAACCAGGAATTAAAATCGGAGAAATGCTAGAATTCTTCTGAAAATTATTTGACAGCAAACAATTACCACACTTCTATGGAAAATATGAGAAACCAAAAAAACCTACTACTGAAGAAATTATCCCAACCATTACCGAAGCAATAGATGAACGTTTGAAAGAATTGACCGAACAATTGAAACAAACTAAAGAGGAAATGTCATTGCAAAGAAATCAATATATCGGAGAATTCAACCAAAATATTAGTAAACTATCAATAATTTTAGGAGAAATATGCAAAAAAATCGAATAAAGAATATGAATAAATTAGAAAAAATAAAGCAAGTTGAAAAATTGATTAATCAAGCCCAAACTCAATTAACACTCTGAACCAAAGAAATAGAAAAATACACCCTAACCCTAAAAGAATTAACTAATCAACTAAACGAAATTAAATTACAAATAACTAATAAATAATATGGCAAAGAAAAAATACGGACTTTCGGGTTTAGCTGGAGATATTATTGGAGTTGTCTTTGCGGTTCCTACTTTTGGAGCTAGTATGGTTTTAAGTCCTACTGCTCGTGGACTGGTGGGAGATGTGCTAGGCGGTGGAGATGATGACGGCGGTGTTGATAATAAATTAAAACAATGAGAAATTCAAAATGAACAGTGAAAAACTCAAATGAAAGTTAATCAGGAAGAAATAGAAAGATTAAGAAAGGAAAGGGAAAAAGATGAAAAAGAAGTAAAGAAAAATGATGAGGAAATCAGAAGACTAAAAACTATCATTGATGATCCTAATAGAAGCGATGAGGAAAAAGAAAGGGCTCGTAAAAGAGTGGTTTTGCTGGAAACTGAAAATAGAAAATTAAAAGATAAAAATAAAGAAAGGGATAAACAAATTGAAGAAAAAAGCAAAACTCCACCAGCACCTTCAGCACCATTAGGCTTGTATTTACCTAAGTTTAGTGCTTATGATAAGTTACTAGCCGGAGCAATATTGGTGCTAATTATTTACTTTTTATTTTTAAGAGAGGATAAGAGAAAGTAATTATGTTAAGTGAAGAAAAGAATTAGAGTTGCTTTAGGAATGCTTAAGAAACAATAAATTACTGGAAAGCGATTTTATTTTTCTTCCTTATTCAGAAATAGAAGATGAAAAATGAAAACATATAAGGCAGGGAGAGAAAATAAGGAAAGAAATTGAGCCATACCTTTATAACTGAAGAGAAAAGATAAATCATCTGCTTGTTTATCACCCTCTGATAGAAAAAGAAATTGATAGTGAATATGGAAAACAAAATCTAAACTTTGAGATCATTATTCTAGTTCTAGTAGTTATTTTTCTTTTCATCTGAATAAAAAAATAAACTTTTAAAATATCCAAGTTGCACCTGGCTTTTTATAAAACTATAATATAGTAAAAAAACTATCATGGACGCACAAAAATATAGGAAAGAACTAAGGGAAGGTAGTAAGGGTGGTAATTGGCTTTGCAAGGAATACAAAGGAGTCAAATGAGCAGAAGGAGAATTAAAAAGAATAGAGGGAATTACTAACCAAGAAGAACAAAATAAAGAAGCAAAAAAAATATGGGAAATATGTGATAAAGTTTACAGTTTAGTTTATAATGTTCCAGAAGGAGTTGACCCTACTGAGCATTATGGTTTTAATCATTTTAAAAAAGTATACGAAAGACTCAAATATTTAAAAAACAAAAGCAGTCAAAATCAAAATAGTTCAAATTCAAGTGATTATTCCTTATCCAATGAAATAAAAGGTTTAATAAGTAAAAATTATCATAATTTCAGTGCTGATGATCTTCAGCGACTAGCACAAAAATTATTAGAACTTTCTCGAGAATACTCTGAATCTTTAAATTCTAACTTAAAACCTTATTGTGATTCTTTAATAGAAACATTACAAAAATTAACTGATAATGCCTACGAAACTTGAAACTCTCCTGACAAACTTCAAGAATGATTAAATTGATGTCTAGAAAAAGAAAAAGTTATCGGCAAAATAAATTTAAATTTGTTAAAAGGAGCAACTAGCTTGCTTTACCCTAATGTTGGTTACCTCTTCTGGAGTGGCTATGAAGGAGGAAAAATGACTATTAGAAAACGTATTTCAGAATTAGAAAATGGCAATAGTCAAAGCAATGAAAATAATCAAGTAGAGTATATCAGTTGTCAACAGTGTTATAAGGAAATTAAATCTGGAAAATCCTATTGATATCACAAAACCAAAAATGATGGTTATAAATTTTGTTCTACCAAGTGCTATGATAACTATTACGGTGAATATTGCGACAAATGTGCTAATAAGTTCTTAACTACTTACCCTTATGAAAATAACAATTATTGTTCCATTTGCTATGAAAAGGTAATTCAAGAAGAAAGAGAAGAGGAAGAAAAATCCATTCGTTATTGTAAATACTGTTCTACTAAATTAGTAAAAGAAGGTAATTTAAAATACTCACTAGAGATTTGTAATAGGGATGACTGTTTTCTGAAGTTAGATAAAGAACTATATCCTGATAAATATTCACAGTTAAATGATAATAATATAAATAATGATAATAATCATCACATAAGAGAGAGAGAGAGAGAGAGAGAGAGAGAGAGAGCAACTTCAATCCAACATGAACCAATTACAGTCTGAAATCACTCAATTAGAATCTAATCCTGCTAAAAACCAAGCCGAATTAGAATCTAAAAGAAAGAAATTAAAAGAACTACAAGAAAAAGAAAAGCAATTATTTAAATCTTTACCAATAACTACGCAAATCTCTAACTTAAAAAGAGAAATCAAACAATTAGAAAATAAATCCACTAGAACTAAGGCTGAAGAAGTTCTTTTATCTGAAAAAAAGAAAGCATTAGCTGAGTTATTAAAAAAACAGCAAGGTGCTAATACTGATAATGCTAAACCAACTGATAAAACTGCTCTTTATATTGGTTTAGCAATTGGAGCAGTAGTTTTAATTGGTTTAGTAGTTATTTTAGTCATAAAAAGTAAAAATAAAAGAAGTAAATATTAAATTGCCTATGGTCAGAAAATAGAAAGATAGTAAACTAGCATAATTTTAAAATCAACTGCTACCTAATTTGCTTAAATTTGGATTAAGTTCCATGTAGTGATTATAAAAATACAATTTTTAAACAATAATATACAAAAATACAGAAATAAAAATATGGTAAATGCACAAGAATGACTAGAAAGTCAAGAAAAATATAATACTAAGGAAAAAAGAGCAAAAGTAAGAGAATTAGATATTAGTTATAAATGATTAGAAGGTTCTCTTGACTTAACTGATTTTATTAATTTAACTAAACTTAATTGTAGTATTAATAAACTTACTGAATTAAACTTAACTGGTTTGACCCAATTAGAGAGAATTGTATGTTGGGATAATTACTTAACTAACATAGTTTATCCCGCCAATGCCGATAAATTAACTTATTTAGATATAAGAGATAATAATCTTCCTGAACAAGACTTAGCAGTTTTTAGTAAGTTGGTTAATTTAAAGGAGTTGTGAATTGGTAATGGTGTAGGATATGATTGAGAAAAAGCAAAAATCAACCAAGGTATTTATAATCGTTTTGCGGGCAGTTTAGAAACTTTAAAAAATCTAACTAAATTACAAGAACTAGACATTAAAAATACTGACATAAATAGTGGTTGAGAACATTTGCCTGCTAGTATTAAAAAAATTGATTATTCCAGTAAAAAAAGACCCCAAAGTAAAGTTAAAGAAATTGCTGAACAACTATATTGAATAGGTAAAGACCTTAGTGGTCAACAATTAAAATCCTGCACAGATTTTGGTTTGCAACCTCATGATTATGGTTTTGCTTGTTATCTGACTAAACGAGGTTATACCCCTCAATCAGAAATTAATTTGGAGGAATTAAGAAAAGAATACTATGCTAAAAGCCAAAAGAGCCAAGCCTGATTAGATCAGAAGTATCCGAAAGAAGGATGGAAGGAAGAGTGGGTTAAATGGAATGGTAAGAAATACGAAAAAAAAGAATGAAGAACAAGAAGTGAAGTAAGAGAAATTTATCTCGATGAACCCAGTTTGACCGGGGAATTGGATTTAGGGGATTTTACTTATAAAGATTGACGAGGAGATGGTGTAAAAGCATACATTTCTCTCCAAGTAGATGAAACCAAACTAACTTTTAAAAACAAGCCAGAAAAGGCTAAAATTAGTTTAATAAATGCCCAAAGAGATATTATTTATTATTATCCTACTAAAGAAGCAAGAGAAAAAGAAACTGAATTAGATATTAGAGATAAAAATCTCGAAGGAAACCTTAATCTCTCAGATTTTATTAATTTAAAAGAATTAAGTTGTTGTAATAATAAACTAACCTCCCTCAATTTGAGTAATTGTAATCAGTTAAAGAAGATTGATTGTAGTGATAATAAACTAACTTCACTAAATCTAAGCAATTGCTCTCAGTTAGAGAAAATTGATTGTTCTGAAAATCAACTAACCAATCCCACTCTACCTAATAATCCTATTAATTTAAAAGAATTATATTTAGGAGACAATAACTTCTCCCGCGACTTATCTTTTTTAACTGGGGCGGTTAATTTAGAAAAACTTTATTTAAGTGATAATAAATTTACTGGTTCCTTAGATTATTTAAGCGAGATGAAGCAATTAAAAAAACTTGATATTGGTAGCACGGATCTAAATGAAGTCAATATCGAGCAATTACCCAAGAGTTTAGAGAAAATTTGATATTCCACTTATAAAAGACCAAATTGTAAACTAACTGAAATTGTCCCCCAATTAAAAAAACACTTTGGTAATTTTGGTCGTTGTCTAAAATGCTACCAACCTAATACTAGTGGAGGGTGATGTCAACCTTGTGCTGACCAAGAATGAGAAGAGGATATAAAACACTTAACTGGACAAGAATTGGTAGAAAAGTTTAATGAAAGACAACCTGATGATAGAAGAAAAATACAATGAATTCCTTATGAAGCATTTGAAATTGAAAAAGATGAACAAGGTCATTCTAAACTTTTAGCGGAAGGAGGTTTTAGTAAGATTTATAAGTCTAAATGAGTAAGGGAAAATAAAGATGTGGTTCTCAAATCTCTCACCAACTCCCAAAATATTACCTTAGAATTCTTAACCGAGATTGCTAATACTAAATTGGTTGATAATGATTATAGTGTTGTAAAATGCCATGGTATTTCCCAAGACCCGGTAACTAAAAATTATCTGATGGTAATGGAATATATGGAAGGCGGCAATTTAAGACAAATTTTACAAAATAAGAATAAGGAATTAAGTTTGGAAGATAAAATTAATAAGTTACAATATATTGCCGAGGGATTAGAAAAAATTCACGACCAAAACTTAGTTCACCGAGATTTCCATAGTGGGAATATAGTAGGATTTAGTATCACCGACCTCGGTTTATGTCAACCAGTTAATTCGCAAAAACAAGCTGGACAAATCTTTGGGGTTCTTCCTTATATAGCTCCGGAAGTTTTACGAGGGCAACCTTATACTCAAAAATCAGATATTTATGGTTTCGGAATAATTGCTTATGAATTCCTGGCTAATGAATATCCTTATGCGGATAAAAACTTGGCTGATACTGGCTTGGTGGCCTTAGAAATATGCAATGGTTTACGACCTAATCTAGATAAGGTTCTAATACCCCAAGAATTTAAAGATTTAATTAAAAGATGTTGAGAGGCTGATCCCCAAAAAAGACCTAGTGCTGAGGAACTGAGGAAGATTATTAATGGTTGGTGAGACTATTATAATGGAAGAGTTGAAGAGGGCACTCCTTTCTATCAACAATACCAAGCCCTAGTAGGAGAATACCACACTTTCTCCCAAAATACTCCTTATCAAATCCATCCGACTGCCATTACTACTAGCAGAATGATAGATACTAAACAAATTGTGCAATTACTCCAAGATCCTACTAAACAACAAGAGGCTTTAGAACTAGAACTAAAAAAACTAGAAAACGAAATAAATAAGTCATTTACTGATGAATTAAAAGAATTAGTAAGCAATTTCATCCAGGTTATGAAAAAAATGAAAAAAGATAAGAAAGATAAAGAAGCAAGAAATAAAGTCAAAGAATTAGACAAAAAATTACGAGAAAAAGATATCACAAAAGAAAAAATTCAAGTCATTATTAATTATTGTGAAAGATTTATCAAATCAGAACAGGAATTAGAACAAGAACAATTCCAAGCCAATATCAAAATACCCACTAACAAGTAAATATTTTTAAAACCCATGGTAAAAAATCAAAACGAATTTAACAATACATATCCCAAAGAAATAACAGAAATAGAAATTACATATGAAGAATTTGAAGATGAAGAAAAAAGGTTAGTTATTGAAGGCTATCTAGAACTAAAAAAACTATATCTACAAAACACTGAAAATCTAGACAAAATAATTCTTAAAGGCTTACCTCAACTCCAAGAATGCACCATTTGAGACTGTGGCGTGAAAGATTTAATTATTGAGAACTGTCCCCAGATCAAAAAATTAAATATTGAAAATAACCTCTTAACTAACTTAGAATTTCTAAAAGACTTAAATAACTTAGAAGAATTAAAACTAGACGGCAACACTGAACTAATTAAAATGTTAGAGCCTTATAGAAAAATTATTCAAAGATCAAACGAAAATACTCAAGTTTTAGAAAAAGAAAAGAAAGATTTATCCACACAGTTAAACACTTCTCAACAAAAATATGAAAGCCTAAAAAAATTCTTAAAAAGAATCTTAGTTTCGCTTTCCGAAGATAATCAGAAGGAATTAGTAAACGAGTTAAATAATGAGATAGAAACTAGGGAAAAAAGTACTCCTTCTGTTTATAGCACTGAAATAAAAACAACAGAATTAACTTCTAGTTTAGAGATATCTATAAAAGAAATGAAAGAATTAAAAAAAGAATTAGAAACTAATCTAGTTAAATCAGAAGCCAAAATCCAAGAATTAGAAAAGGGATTAATTGAAGTAAGCAGTAAACAGTTGGAGAAAATGAAAAGTGAATTCGTGGAAAAGAGAACAGGTTACAATCTTATTAATAAAAAAGAAAACTTAGAAAAAATACGAAGAAAATTAGAAATATATTTAGATGCCCATGAGAAAATAATTAGGGATGAAACTGATTCTTTTGCTGTGAATACAAAAAAAGATGCTGAGGAATACTTAGGAAAAAATAAGTCTGAGTTTATTGAATTATTGAATGAACTTTGCGAAAAACAAAAAGAGATTACCTTGCTTAAAATTCAAGAGCAATTTGTTGAAGAACAGGAAGAAATTCGATCAGGGGTAAAAGGAGTACAAATTGTTAATAAAGAAAAAAGAAGCGAAATGGAAAACACAAAAACTCTAGAATATAGAGACAAGTCAAGCAAACTAAAAGTCGGAGTACAAATTGATCCCTCGACAAAGAATTTTAATTTTGGAATAACTAGAGAAAAAACAGATGTTGTTCTAAATACTTATGAAGCACAACACCAAAAGAACGAGTTAACAGAGTTAGTAGTACAAAGTGTAGTCGGCTCTCAATTTAAACAAATTGGTCAGTCATCTTCTCAAATTAAAGAAACAGATGAACAAAATCAACAAACCCAGACTCAAATAGAACAACCACCTAAATAAAAAAGGGGAGTCAAAACCTCCCCTATTCTCATAAGCACTTTTTACTTATAAATTTACTTATCAGAATATCTCTCTCATACAAAACCTTATCACCTTTAAAATTAAAGCATTTTAACTAATAAAACTTACTTATTAGTCCTAAATATAGATAGTTTTAAATAAAATTAAGGTATATAATAAACTAAAAAGAACTAAACTGCAATCGTTCCATCATGAATATAAGTTCTAATAACTTGTCTTTTCTTCGGGTCAGATACTGCTCCTCAATAACTAAGTTTATCATT